TCGACAGCTGTGCGGAGACGGGAATGGCGACGGGCAAAAACAGTAAGGCGGCAAAAAGAAGAACCAGTTTCCCTTTCACCATCTCGTCGTAGGCGCTCAAAAAACTCTTTAGCCAAAAATTGGGTCTCATTAGAAGTGGAAAAAAAAAAAAAAAAAAAAAAAAAAAAGGGGGAAAAAACAGAAAGAAAAACATGTTGTTCTTTGCTGGTTGAACAGTTTTTACTCATAAGTCTGCTGAAATACACATGTACGTTTGTGCATGCACATGTTATGCAAGATACATGTGTTTTAAATGTATATATGTATGTATATAAAATGATCCACACAATTAATAGGGGGGGGGAAAAGAAAAAAGGAACAAAAAACGTTTCGCATGCGGCGGCACGCAGGGGCGTGTATATTTATCGGTATACATGTGGAAGAAAACAAAATTTGAGGCAATTTAACCGCACATACCCCACCCACGCAATCAGAGATTGAAAAATCATCTTATCAAGCAAAAAAAAAAAAAAAAAAAATGGCTTAATCAGAGAGAATTAAAGCAACACATAAACACACTCAATAATAATAGTAAAACTATTTTCTATATTTGGACCTATTTTGATCAAAATGATACAACTCATCTTCATCATCTTCATCTTCATCACTTCTGCGGCAGCAATGACAGCACATCCACACAAACAATACAAAGAGGCCAAACGCCATAGCAAAGAAGGTACATCCTCCCAGGAAGTATAAAGATCTTAACACATCTTCATAGGCCTTCATACTCTTACTGAATGTGGGAATTTGCACACTGATGACAGTTGCCCTTTCTGGGCCTGGATAGAGTGCCAGTGTGTTGCTGAATGCGCCCTGAGTGATCATAGAATTGGCTTCGTCCGGTGGCCAGAGGTGCAGGAGACGTGAGCCGGGACCCTTACTTAACAAAGCCTGCAGCACGGTGATGTGGACCCTCAGATTTTTATTGAATTCCACAGATGACACGTTGATGATGGTCAAAAAGGCATACTTGCGCAGCAACTGGGGACCAATGTCCTTGATGAGGGCTGCCTTTAGCTCCGTCAATTTATTCTGCACCACAAACTCCCAATTGGGACCACCGAACACAATAATGTGCTCCGACGTCGACGGCGAGGTTTGTGCGGAGGCGAAAGGCACGATATGCAAGTTCAGCAGCAGCACAAAGGCAAAAAGAAGTACGTTTCTACGCTTCATCTTTTCACTGTGGAGTTTCAGCAAAATGTGGTTGCGTTTACGGAGTTTTATTCGAGCCGCAAAAATACCTTCTTGTGAGCCAAAAGCCAAAAAAAAAAAAAAAAAAAAAAAAAAAAAAAAAAAAATTAAATAATAATAATAAAGGATGGGGAAAGAACTCGCACGCGTGTGTGTATGGGGAGGAGCCTGGAATGTGCATTGCAGAGGGTTAGGGGTTAGGGGAGGCAACACCAGCCACCATCCGTGCGCTCACTGCAATTGCGAACATTTCCCAAACTTTTCATTTAATAAAATGTTTATCAGAAGCCTTTGGACTGTTTTCTCCCCGCACTGCTTTTTTTTTTTTTTTTTCTTTTTGTAATTGAGAAGTAAAATGATGCGCACCACCACCGTAAACCACCAAAAGGGAAAAAACAAAAAAAAAAAAAAAAACAAAATTTAATTTCTCAGCAACAGTGATCCAAGCAAAAAACAGGGAATATGATTTTTCTTTTTTAATTTTTTTTTCGTTTGTGTGTTTGTGTGTGTGTCTCGCCCAGTTTGTTTCCCCCCCTCCCCCCAACGCACTCTTGCCCCGGGGACTCTCAGTTGAATATCAACAGGCCCAAAGAAGCGAGCACAGGCATTGAGAAATGCAACTGCGTGTCGCGAGTTGGGGAGGAGACGGGGAGAGGGGAAAGAAAAGGAAAGGAAAGAAAAGGAAACACAAAGCGAAATTACTGGTGTCCCTTTCATAGTTTGCGGAGCGGGGAAGCACCACAGAACATACGCAAGAATGAGGGATTGGACGCGATGAGGGGAGGTGGGCCGGGGAACAAAGAAAAAAAGAAAAAAAGAAAAAAAACACGCATAAAAACAAACAAACAAAAAAAAGAAAAAATGAAAAAAAAAGAAAAGCAAAAAAACAAAACAAAACGAAACAAGCAAACCGAAAGGATAGCAGGATATCTCCCCTCCCCCAACTTTTTTTTTTTTCTTTTAGTTCGTTTATTTCATGTCAATTTCCTTCAGTTGACTGGATACGGTTCGGCGCCTTCTTCGACGGGCTTGCTGCCACAGCCCTGACAGCACATCCACACAAGCACAATAAAAAGCAGCACTGCCATGAGAGAGAGAATGGCGTAGCCCAACTTAAACAGCCTTAATAGAAACTCATCGCTGATAATGGAGCCAGTTTCTTTTTCAGCCAACTGCACACTGATGACAGTTGCCCTTTCCGGGCCTGGATAGAGTGCCAGTGTGTTGCTGAATGCGCCCTGAGTGATCATAGAATTGGCTTCGTCCGGTGGCCAGAGGTGCAGGAGACGTGAGCTGGGACCCTTACTTAACAAAGCCTGCAGCACGGTGATGTGGACCCTCAGATTTTTATTGAATTCCACAGATGACACGTTGATGATGGTCAAAAAGGCATACTTGCGCAGCAACTGGGGACCAATGTCCTTGATGAGGGCTGCCTTTAGCTCCGTCAATTTATTTTGCACCACGAACTCCCAATTGGGACCACCGAACACAATAATGTGCTCCGACGTCGACGGCGAGGTTTGTGCGGAGGCGAAAGGCACGATATGCAAGTTCAGCAGCAGCACAAAGGCAAAAAGAAGTACGTTTCTACGCTTCATCTTTTCACTTCACACATACACACACACAGAACAAAAAAAAAAAAAAAACATAAAAGAAAGAGAAGCCAAAACAAAATATTCAGATATCTTTTAGTGCAGTTCATGTATCCGTGTCTTCCTTCCCACGTTAACTGCGCCTGGGCGACGTAGCGGGGCTGCTGCTCTGCACACCCGAGGGGAGAAACCCAACAGCAACAAATCGGCCCAATAAAAGTTTCGTCCACATGGGCGGATACGAGGAGGCAAATAAAAGAAAATCATGTGATTAAAATATTTCAACTTTATCTCCACACGTGACTTTGAGTGATCATCACACACTCGCCGTGGCGGCCCTCGCCTTCGGAAGACCGGCGACATCCCGCAGGACCGCTACGAGGTCGCCCTTCTTTTCGCGCAACCGCTGCTCCGCCGCCATGCGGTCGCAACCGAGCTCCTGCATCAACAGGGCAACGTCCGCCTCCTCCACCGGGATCTGCGCCAGCTCATCCATCCGCTTCTTCTCCGCCAGCTTCTTCTGGAGAATGTCAGCGTGGAGTTTCCGCATCCGCTCCTGCACCGCCTTCTCATCATACTTGCGCACCTCCACCGCCTTCTCCACACGGCTGGAGATGTTCTTCATCGACTCCTGCACATCGGACTGCCGCGTCATTGTTTCCTCGTTTTTATTTGTACAATTTGTTTATGCCTAATTGCGTCCTCGCTTCTTTCCACACACAAACACACACGTCCCCACTCTGATAGAAAGAAGAGAGAGAGAAAGTCTTCTTTGGAACCTTTTCCTTTTCTTCTCACATAAAAAAAAAAAAAAAACAACGCAGAGAAAGGAGAAGGAGAGCACGTTGCAAATGAAGTCGCATTAGTTGGACCAACGGCACACACACACAGACACACATATATATATATACAGATAAAAACGCAGATCCAGCTGAAAAGTCATGGTGTCACACAATGGCTAGCACTCTCCTTGCGCATATGACGCTCGCTCTTTACGGGACACAACAGAAAAGAAAAGAAGAACTACTGAAGAACAAAAACCCAAAAACAACAACAAGAAAAACAATGATTTCTTATGTTTATGTGTTTCCTCGTAATTCTTCTTCCTTCCACCTCCCTCGCTTGTTGATGCTCCTACAGGAGAGGAAAAAAAAAAAAAAATAATACACGTGCAGAAACAAACAAAAAAAGGCGGGGAAAAATTCTTTTTTTTTTTTTGTTGTTGTTGTGTCTTCTTGACCTCCCTCCCTCATGGCCATTTGGCTCGCTTGTGCTCTCTCTCAAGCAACAAAGAAACCCCTCCTCAACCACAGACACATTTTAACAAGGAAGAAACAACAGCAACAGTAACACCTCTTCCCACCACCACCACCACCCCACTCAAACTCTCATTACATCACACAGAAACACTGGAGATGACGCCAAAGTGTCCCCGCAGGCTCTCAGCGGTAGTTGCCAACGCCTCTAGTGACTTTTCAAGCCTGGAGAGGCGCAACTCCAGCTCCACCATGCCAGGCACGGCAGCAGTTACTTGTTGTTGTGTGGTCGGTAAATGCGGTGTCGACACGAAGCGATTCCTTTCACTCCTATGACTCGAGAATTCATTACCAAACTCTTGCAGAAATTCGTCTCCGCGCGGGGTGGATGCGCGTGAGTCCCGCTTTAGACGCATCTCTTGATACAGTGGAAACGGTCGTCGTGTTCGTGGAGAACCAAGAGGCGTTGTGTTGCTTGACGCAAGCGGCGTGGTGCTGTTCGATCCAAATGTTGAGTCAGACGCCAGGCACTCTTCAAGTGTACGTGTGGAACGAAGAAAAGCGGTTTCATACTGCATCAGTGCTCGCCGCATTACACGGTATGTGATGACTTGTTGAGATAGAAGAAAGGCGGCAATTTGGCGCGAGATGAAATTATGTCGATCCCGCTTTGCCCGATAAAGTTTCCAGGTGCGTTGAATAAGACGTGCCGCCTGCGGTGGGATTTTGCCGCAAAGCTCATTGTTGCGGAAGAGTGTGTACAGGTTGCGCTCTGCTTCCGTCAGCGAGAGCGCCTCATTCATGACACCCACCGTCCAGCAGAGTACAATGACACCAAGCAGGGTGACGCACACCGCGATTACACGTCCTGGAAAGGTGACAGGTGATGTCTCACTATATCCAGCGAGTGAGGCAGTGCTGACGCAAAAATAAAACGATTCACCGAGGGTCGCCCCTTCTGCCTTTGCGTAGGAGCAAGCAAAGATGAATATTCCAGCAGCAACGGCACACAGCGTCACAGCGAGGTGCTCAAGAAGAAAGGCCGTTCGAATGAAAAATCGATAGTTTAATCGGATGCGAGCGAGACTTGCAATGGCGTGTGAGAAAACGGATGTGTGCGCGACATGCGTCCCATACAGGAGAAAGACATAGAAACGAAGAATCAAAAAACCATCCAGCCCCACAAGCCACTCAGGGTTCATGTCATCTGGAAGCGGTGGGCATTGAAGGATCCATACAAGCATCTCCAATAACATATTAATAAGAGAGGGGGAGTGAAACACACTCACTTCACGCCTCTTCCCACTCGCCCGGTTTGTTATGCCGTGAAATTTTGCCTTCACACGATGTATGCACACAATGGCCACCTCCCCCGCCAGTGAGAAGAGAAGAATAATGGAATGCGTGACAACCCTGCCTTCCTCAAAGAGTGAGAGAGCGTAGCAGATAACAGCCAAAAAACACATCGCCCCGCGTAGCCAGCGGCGATTCGCTGCGAGGCGTTCCATGCGGGTTAGTTGACGGATGCTTCGCGTCACAGAAGGAATGACTATGGGCGTCTGCGGTTTAATCATCTGTTCGGCGCGTTCACGGAGCTCCATGCCTGTTCGCTTTCTTCCTTCTTGTCCCCGTATTTATGTGTCGACACGTGGCCACTGCGACCTGCCAATTCTAAAACGATGCGTGCGTGTTGGGCTGCTCCCCCCGTCAACCCGCCTTTACTACCGGACAAGAGACTGCGCACATGCAAAGCCCCAACAGCGTTACAGAAAGACACCAGAAGGAAAAAAAAACGGGCAACCCTCAAATTCCCTCCTTTCATTTTTCCTCTCTTTCTCTCTTACACACACACACACAAACAAACAAAAGATACGGGCGACCAGCCTCGCCCCACCACGCACACACACAGAGAAATGGAGAGGTAAAGAGGCATAATCACCAATAAGTAACGTCCGCGCAAATAAAAAACCGAAAAGAAAGAATTCGGTCAAATGTATCACCACCACCAACACCAACAACAACAACAACAACAACACACACAATAAAGAATGCCCACAAAATCGTAAGCCATGTAGTTAACCAACGGAGTCTTGACGCGGAGAGCAGGACACCAAAAAAACCACGGAGGGAGTGTGAGAAAAAAAGGAAGACGGAGGTGAAGAGTAAAATAGGCGGCGCTATAATACAAACACACACACACACACATTTGCATCTATTTGTGCGTGTGCATACATACAATGGATCAAGAGCATGAATGGGCGAGACTGGGAGGGTTTGTTGGGGCCGTCGCCGCCAGAGATTCCATCAATGCAGTGAGGCGACTACATGTGTTTTCTAGCGTCTCCACTTTTTCCAAGAGATTTGTCACATCGACATGAGCAGTCGTGGCACCACAAACACCCACCATATCCGTTGAATATAAGCTGCCCCTCCAAACATTGTTCATGACAGCTCGCTCCACTTCTTCTCGTGTTGGCATCCTCTCTCGGCATTCAACACATTTTCGAAAAAAGGCATCCACATCAGCCTGCTGCTGAGCATGTTGCGCCGCCCGCAAAAGATGACGCAGGTGCTCCTCATGCCCTTGGTCCAAGAATCCAATCGAAGGACTGACGCGGCTCGCACGAAACCGCTGCGTCGCGTCTGTCCACTCCTGCCGTTCCCGACGCAACCGCGAGATATTTCTAGTAAGAGCCCATGAGTAAAACAATGCTTTGACGCACTGCATCTTTCCATCTGAGAATGGAGATTTAAGACGATGAAATCGCCACATTGTTTGAATAACACGCGCGGAGTCCTCTCGCAACAAATGGGAAAGTCTCTGACAACGCATCAGCATATACATGTTATGCTCATTCTCATCCTTTGTTAGGGAGCCGTGGAAGATGACCACCAGGTAGGCGATAAGTACAAAACTAATAACCCACGCGATAAACGCTACAAGTTTCCCTGCCGTTGTTGCTGGGGTAATGTCTCCGTAACCGACAGTGCTAATTGCCTGAAAGGCGTACCAAAAGCCGTCATGGAGGGGCACATGTTCGGCCTTTGCGTACATAAAGGACAGAGTGACCCACGACAACAGTGTTGCAAGTGACACAATCTTTGCTTTGCGGTACACAAGAGCTGTGCGCACCGTAAATGACGTAGTTAAAGGCATCGCCGTCATCGCAGTCATGGCCCTACAAAAAAACCGATAGACGTAAGCCGCATTGTGAATGTAAATCGCAACAGCATAAAGGCGGACAAATATAAAATAGTCTAAAAGCTCAAAGAATGGTCGCCAAAAGAATATCAACGGCGGGGTTTGAATATTCCAGACTATTATTTCCAGCAACATTTGCAACAAGAACGGGGATGTGAATATGTTACGGCGATCCTTGTACAATAAATTCGTCAGCCCTGTGTACTCCGCCTTGATGGAATACACCCTCAATATAATAAGCACGGCCGCCTCCGACACCGCAAGAATTGTCCACTCCACAACCGCAGCGGAGGGGAGAAGCGAAAGAATAAACACCAAAACCGCAAGCAGTGCCTGTACACCGCGCAGCCAGCGGTGATACGCCGCAAGGAGCTCAAGGCTGGCAATTTCATTCGTAACAACCGACGGGGCGCTGTGTAAACTGACATCAAAGTACAATTCGTCACGGAGCAGATGTTTCACACGTGTGCCAAGCAGACGCGGCCCCAGCGTGAATGCTCGCGTCTTTCGCCGGAGAAGGCGCAAAAACCCGCGATTCTCACGTCGTCGCGGCGATGATCGAGACGACCCCGAAGCGGAGTCCATCTTTGTGCCACTCTTTTTTTTTTTTTTTTCTTTTTTATTGTTGTTGTTTTAAAATTCAACAGGGATGTTTATCAATGCAAACTGTTTGTGCCCTGTCTTTATATATACCACAGCAGTGTATGTGTATGTGTCTCTCTCTCTATCTCTTTATCCCCCCACCCTGTATATATATATATATATGTTTGTGTGTGAGCGAGGAACGTTGGGCACTTCTGTCCCCATCTATGCATGCGCAGAGAACAAGTAAAAAGAAGAAGGAAAAGGAAGAAACAGCACACAAACCAATGGAAGGAATAATAACACACCCACATTCACACACACTCTGCATTCGGTTTAACTCAACGGTGATCAGGCGGCGATTCCCAGTATACAGAGCGGCATGAAAACCACCATTCCACCCCTCCACTTCCCGGTGAATATGAAGGCAGGCGGGACGGTGTCTCATACGGAACACAACTGACGGATCCCCCACCCCACCGGTGATCTGCAAATGCAGCGCACACCGCCAAACACAACTCCAAAAAGGCAATGGCGGCAAACAGTAACTCCTCCCCTTCAGTTTCACATCCTCCTTCTTCTATGCTCGGTCAGCCGAAGAAGTTGCTCCTCACAGGACTGCAGGAGTATCAAGACTGGATCTTCCTCGTTACTCTTCTCCCCGATATCATCAAAACCCATCTTTTCCTCATCCCTGACACTTTTTGACCGGAAAACATGACGGGGATTCGCAAGCAACTCAAACTCCCGCTTCAGTGCTGTCATCTCGCGCTGCTGAAGCACAAGATCCCGCTCCAATACTTCGATGTGCCGTACCATTGGTGTCACAACATGCGACAGGAGAATCTCCTTCTGACGCCGCTCCTCTCTCAATATATTGGACAATTGATCCACAATGAAAAGAAGCCGCTGCCGGTCATCATCCGCGTAGGCATGTGCAAAGGAATAATACGGAGCAAAACAGGAACAACTGCTGCTGCAGAACACCTCTTCATTATTACCTGTACAGGGACCAACACCGATACCTTCTATTCGTGTCGATCCATCCGTGATGTCGACAAGAAGGTGTGCGTCGGGGTCTGTGACGCACGACGCACCGTACACATCACGCGGGGTCTCCTTTGCTTCCTCCACGTGGCTTCCATCATGATGCCGCCGTGTATCGCGAGTCGTTACTTCTTGCTGCAGGGGAGGGCTGCCGTTCAGTGAGCTTGAGAGATGCGAAGAGAGCTCACAACTCATTGTGTCTGTTGCTGCTGTTTCCACGGCTCCCACATCCATTCTATCGTACGATGCATTCTGACTGGTCCCCACTGGGACACTTCCATCTTCCCATTGCTCTTGCCCAACTAAACATTTTTGTTGTTGTTGTTGTTGTTGTTGTCTTTTTCGTCGCTTAGCGCGCTGGTGTAGCTCCCGCGCCTGTTCCCTCAGAAGACCCTTCTCACGGAAAAGTTTTTCTTCCAGCCCAGCGAACCGCCGCTCCAGTTCCTTAACGCTGATCTGACAACCTTTTGGGGTCTCGTTATCATTCTCCTTGCCATGAGTACCGCCACCACCCTCTCTTCGCGCTCTGGCGATAAGTCGCCGTAGTTCCAGCAGTGACTCCTCAACGTCAGCCATCCATCACACGAATGTCAGTGCCTGCTGTCCGCTGGCTTGTCTTTCTGTGCCTACAAATACTTTTCCCAACAGTCCCCGCTTCTCACAGAGAAAGAAAAATGGAGGAAACGAATTGAGACAACTCTGCCGCTTTGGCAAAATACACGAGACCTTACATGAATCCTTATTTATTCCATTTCCACCTTCTCCTCCTCCTCTTCCCACTCCATCGCCAGTTTCTCTTTATTTCTAATTTATGTACTTTGATGTATAGCGATGTTTCAAGGTGAAAGCAAAGTGAAAAAAAAAAAAAAAAAAAAGCCTGGCTTTAAACAAACACACACAGTCACTTTCCCCCCCTCTACAATTTCATGTTTTTCACCTTCGGTTTTTAAACGACTCATTGTCTCTCTCCCTCTCTCTCTCTCTGTGTGTGTGTGTGTGTGTGTGTGTTTTTGTGCAGCTCCAGCGGTGCCTTTTCCTCCGCCCGCATTCTCTTGTGGTCAACACTTCTTACATGATGTTTCCACCACCGTCGTTATTCCTTTTTCTTACCATTACCACTCGTGATCACACGGCTGTGATACTTTTTCCTATGTCCTTGTATCTTGCTCAGGTCAAAGAAGCGGGTCTTTTCCTTTTCCTCAATGACATGCCGCACGAACTGCAGTCCGGCGATATTGTAGTCCATGCGCCCTACAGCGTGATCAAGACCCTCGGCAATCATGCGACGCAGTGCGTGAAGCCGGCGGACACCGTGCGCCTCCGAAATTTCACCAGCGATAGCGGCACGTGCCCTGTTGCCAACCGCCGCAACACCAGGCGGCGCTGCAACAAGAGCCAAGACAATTTTCGCGGCAATCTCATAGTTCAGGACCGCCCGCTCCCGCAGCATCTCCTCCAAATAGTTGAGCAAGGCATCGACATGTGTGCTTGTGAGCGAGGAGAGAGCGTGTCGTACCTCACTGGGACGCACACTCTCAATGACAGACCACAGATACTCCCATACCGTCTTGTTTGCAAGAAGCGGGTGTGGTGGTGTGAGATCCTCCGCATTTTCACGGCGTTGTAGCTCTACACTCACAAGATCGAGGGCCTCCATGATTTTCTCTGCAGCCGCAGCCGCGGTGGTTGTCAGCTGTCCAGCCACGGCAACCTCCGGATTCTGCTGCTCGAGCGTTTGCATCGCCACACGCTTTGCAGCCTCCTCGTCCATTGCTTCCTGTGCCATGCGCTCTTCTTCCTCAGCCGGAAAAACAATATCTTGTGTGCGCAAGAAACACCGAATACATTTATCCATCCCTGCGGTTGCGATGCAGGTGCCATTTGCCGTTGCTGCCACAGTCCACACTCCGCGCTGATGCTGCCGGAACATTTGAATCATTGTCCAGTTATCACCATCCCAGTGCTTCACGGAGCCATCTAATGAGACCGTCAGCAACTGGTGTGTGTCGCGCAAAAACTCGACCTGGGTTACGTAGTCGTCATGTGCGTGAATCGCGCGGTGGCAGTCACCAAAATCAGTGCCCCAGAAGCGCAGGGATTTGTCCATACCCACAGAGGCCACAAGTGTCCCATCGGAAGAGAATGCCACGGCCGTCGGTGGGAGTTTGTGCCCAAACAGCGACAGATACGGTTTCATGGTATCAGCAAAAAACAACTGAATGTTTGTGTTCTGCAGGCCCACCGCCACAAACCGGTTATCGGGGCTTAAGGCTAGAAACAAGGGAGCCTCAGTCAACTCTATTTCCATCGACTGCAACAACTGTGGCGCGGCATTACTATTAACGTTATTGTCTTTATTATTAATATTATCATTGTTCCTCTTTTTTTGACTGTTATCCGATGATTGTTTCAGTAGTGCAAGTGTCCATACAATGAGACGACGGTCAAATCCAACAGACAGAAAACCACTGCTGTCTGGTCGCCGTGCCACGTGTCGCACGCCTCCCACATGTACATCCGGTTCGGTGAATACGACACTCGACGCCGGGAGATCAACCATAAGAATGGAGCCGTCCTGAATTCCAACACAACATAAACTGGACGAGATGGCAGCCATGGTGACTGCACCATCAACGGCGACGTGACCGGTGCATGTGAGCACCCCTGTTTCGTCGGCGTGCTGAACATTCGCTTCCTTCGCGTCGTAAAAATCATGCGGTTCTCCCACCTCCGTCTCACCCTGCTGCACCTTGATGGAAACATTCCACATCATCAACTTCTCTGCGCTCATAGAGAGAAGTGTGGTGTCGTCTTCGACAAATGTCAGCTGGCGGATGTCAGATTGGTGACCCCTCTGTTCCATCGTTTGACGAGGTTTGAGGTCCTCGAGTGTCCACGTCGCGCCCCCCGACAGTTCAGTGGTGGTCAGAGCGGTTGTGTATGTGCACACATTGTTGTTGTTGAACGCTATGGCAACATGCAGACGATCGGCATCACGAAAACTACCGCTTGTGGGCGGAATAAAACATGCGCTGCGTACCTTTTGGTCCAGAAAGAAGGTACGGAGGAGGACAACTTCCTCCGTTGCGGATGCCGCGGCGGGAGCCCCGCTGGCGCTGCCTGGATTGGGGCCGGTCCCATTTGTTATTTCCTCCGGAACTTTATTCGGCTCCCGCCTGCTGTTCTTCACCCCCACTTCCACCTCTTCTTCCTCGTTGTCATAGTCAGCATGGGTTCCCTCCCCACCGTCTTTCTTCGCCGCACACCGCTTCCGCTTGCGAGAAACCTTTTTACGCACCTCTTCTCGTGTCAGAATGCGGAATATCTCCACTGTCTTGCTCGTGGTCGCCAACAAGAACGCACCATCGTGTGAAAAAGACATGGACGTCACAGGCTTCTGCAGTTTGCGCTGGATGCCGCCGTGCTCCACAGCCAACGCTATCATCGTCATCGTCGTCCCTGCGTCATCTCCGTGCATGTCATCTGCCTTCAGCAGGGCCTCTGTGTTAAACACCTTCAACTGACTCTCGCGTAGTCCACAGTAGAGACGTCGCCCAGCACTGTCCATCCGCAGTGACGACACCTGCGCATCGGAGGCAACGAGTGTCTGCACACACTGCCGGAGGAAGATATCCCACACCTTAACAAGTCCGTCGGCAGCACCCGTTACAACAAATCGATCCTCCTTCTGTGGGACAAACTCGATGCCCACGATACCCCCACGATGACCGCGTAGGCGGAAGGAAGCCTCTTGCGTCACAAGGTCCCAGACGGTAAGGTCCGTGTCCTGACCCCCGCTGCACATATACGCACGCTGGGAGCCGGCAGCGAGGGCAAGGACAGTTGTGTCTACCTTGTGCCCGAGCGCATAGAAGCGGCAAAGAGGTAGGCCGTAGTTGTTTGTCGGACCACAGGAGAAGACGGCAACATGACCATTGTGGTAACCAACAAGCAGCATCCATCCATCCAGTTCCAGAGAACTTTGCCCTGTCGTTGATGATTCCAACGACAACACACAAATGGCAGTGACCTCTAGAGGCATCTTTGCCTCGGCCGGTATCAATGCGTGCTGCAGTGCTCCACTGCGAACGGAATATACTCGCACAGCCTCAAGACTTGCAACAAATACAACGGCACTCGCCACAGCGGTGTGTTGCCGACTCCTGTGACGAAGACCGATCCTGCTGCCGCTATTGCTGCTGTGGTGCGTTGCTAAATCCACGTACGAGGACGGCGCAACGACGCTGCAGAGAGTCAGAGATGCATTGCTGGCAACCGCACCTCCCTGTGGACCGACAACGTAACGCAGGTATGTCTTCCCCACCATTGTTCCCCCCTCTGTTTGTGTGTAAATATATATAATTGAGAAAAATCAAAGAAACAGTTGAGCCAAAAAAAAAAAAAAAAAAAAAAAAAAAAAAAAGAAAAAAAGTGGATTCAGGAAGAGAAAAAACGCCGAAAATCCACCACCACCACAATTATTACAATTATTATTAATAGTAATTTTTTCTCAGATTTTCAAACAACCGCTTCCGTTTCACACAATACCACCCAATTTGTTCAACAGCATCCATTGACCCCTCTCGTACATAATGCCCCGCACCCTGGCACTCGTTTGTCGCGCTGTCACCTCAAACTCACGACGCAGCTTTCTGACGTAGTACGCCTTGTCCGTCACGCGGAGCTGGGCGTGCCCGGCCTTCAGCAGCTGCCTGTAGAGCGTGCATGCCTGCTGCGGTGTGGGCTCTACCGGGGCGTAATAGCGACTCGCATCGATGCGGCGTCGCTCCAGACGCATTCGCCGCTCATTTGCGCGCAGAAAGTCCGGTCGACCCTCTTTCCACCAGCGCCGCTGACCACCAAGAGTCCTGCAGGTCGCGCGTAGCATCCTAAAACTATATTTATCCACTCCCACCCCCCTCCCTTTCGCCCCATCCAAGAAAGACACGCACAAGAGAATACACACGGAAGAAAAACAAGAAACAAAAAAAAGGGAGTTGTGACATTTCTCACAGCGCTTCGCCCTGTTCCACCGCCCCCATTTAAATTTCAACGTGCCCATTGATTCTCTCTATTCATTGCATCTAAACCTTCTCTCTCTTCTCCTCTCCTCCTCCCCTACACACTGTTATATACAAAGATGGTTGAAAGTGATGTGGTGACCACCATCTCCAGCCTCATTTCAAAGATCCTGATGGCGGTGGCGATGAAAGTGGCGGGTCAACCCACGTGACAACTCGTCTCCTCTCAGAAGTCCCCTTCTCCTTCTTGAAATGCGCTGGTGCTCTGCGATCCGTCGCCACATCCACCCTGCCTGACAAACATGGATTAGAAAAGTGACTTGCAAGCAGGTGAAACTTCGGCTTGCAGAGGAATTCGCGTTGCACCTCTGCATTTTCTTTTTTTTCGGTAAAACGCTTTCGGCTCATGTCATTCTCGCCATCTACTTCTAATACCGCTTCCTTTTTCCTCTTCTGCCAAGAGGAACTAAGCCCGTCAGTACGACGGCACGGTTGCTGTTGTGGTCGAATCCCCACGGCGGGTGTTGTGTTCACGCGGCGGACACGAATTCCCGGCGCCATCCGCGTCGCAGCCGATCCGTGACGCCGCGGGGCGTCCTGCAAAATTACCAACGCCGCAAGAATGTCAGCATGCAGCGCCTCTGTAATGAGGCAATATGGAAGGATGATCGTACGCCAGCGGACCAGAAGCTCCTGTCGCTCTAAAGCGCCAGCGAGGAAGATGACACGGCGGTACGACATCTCCGCCAGCACAATTTCTGCCAGTGCGCAGTTCTGCCGCAGCAGGTGCCAGCGATAACTTTGACTCAGCTCAATGAAGGTACGATCTTCATGCTCCTGCCTCCAGAGCGCCGTCCGCGGGGTGAGGCACGACGCCTTGGAAATCCCTGCAGCTCCGCAATGCAGAGACCGCAACGATGCGCACACATGTGAATTTCGAGACTTTGTCGCCTTTTTTACTTCCTGTGGAAGACAATTTTCAACGACATGGGAGGCTTGTAGGGGAAGCTCCACATTCTCTTCCTCGTCCCCGTCGTCGCCCTGCATGTCAATCACTATGACCACATCGCTCGTGTCACTCTCATCATTGGTTTTAGCCTCCGCCAGGGGAGGGATGTCACCGCACTTGTTTCCAGCGGCAACAGAGGGCGGAGAGAAGGAAAAAACGGCGCGATGCGGTGGTTCTTTGGCTGCCCTCCTTACGGAGTGTTGTCGCTGCTGTGCCATCATCTGTCTCTTTTTATTTTTCTTCTTCCAATTGCGGCGTTGTTCCCTCACAATTGCCTCTTGGTGCTCTTTGATCTGCTGCTGCACGACGACGCGGCGGTCACGGTACTCCTGCAGAAGATAACGCTCTCGCAATTTTTCTTCCAACGAGATGAATAGCTGACGGCGAATCCTTGCCTCCGCATGCTGCACAACGCACCGCCCTTTTCGTTCCATGGCAAAAACCGCACTCGCCGCGTCAAAACTGTTGTCGCCGTCAGATTCCGCATTCGTCTCTCCCTGTGACGGGCAGCCCTGAAAATCCTTGACGCATCCGTCCAGTCTGTTGCCAACACCCAGCGCAGGGTCAGGCACACAGTTCGCCCGTTCATCGATCAGCTCGTTCAGTAGCTTGGCCGGCCAACTCGTCGACGTTCTCGGTGTGGCACTCAAAGGGTTCATACCATCTTCCCCATCGCCAGTTCCGTTTCCTCGTCCCTCCGCCTGCAACTCCATCCTACTGACGAGTTGCTCCCGCATGACATTGTGACGTCGGCGCTCTTCTAACCAGCGCTGTCGCTGCTCCAGCAATCGCCGAGCCTGCCGTCCTGCTCTCAGGGCTGCCCCACGTACGCGCAGAGCTGCTTGTACGGGGACAACCGCCTGTCTATGAGCACGGCGCCTCAGAGGCACAAGGTTCCATCGCACCGACCAGCATGCACGCAGAAAGGCCTGAAGAATGAGTGTACCGCATTCATGCAGCTGTGCCCAACCGCGTAAACGGGCCTCTTCAAGTTGCTCCAATACCCCCGAGTCATACAACTTAACGAGACCGGAGTCTTCCCTGATGATGACGGACGGTGCCTCTCTTGCCGATACCGGATTGTCTCTAACCAAATCGACACCCACACGACGGATTGTATTCTTCTGCCACACCCCTGCTGCTTCTTCCTTTTCTTCTTTAGCAGAGACATACGATGTGTAGTCCACGATAGCAGCGGAACAAATAAGTTTCGCCTGAATTATCGGCATGAATGTGTTAAAATTTTCAACGGAAATATGGAACAGCGGCGGGAGTGGACGCCACATGTCCCCTTCTGAAACAGTTTGACGCCGATTTAAATGGTATGTGAGACGCGTCGCCACACGTGTGGCGTCCACAGAAAAACGGTAGCGGGCAATAAACTCTCCCAGCGTAAAAATCTCCAGCGGCTCCCGTGCTGCTACTGCGGTTTGTGATGTTCTGCTGTTGCATTCACTATTTATCGACGATACCTCCGCGTAGCTGCTGCCCACAGCCCAGTGAGCCACCACCCACGCACCATGTCGCTCGAATACTCCATTAGACAACACCGGCCAGATTCCACTTCCTGTTGGACTTCTTGTCGAATTGGGACTAAACAACTCGAGAGAATCAAAAACATCCAGCAGCCTCGCACCTGTTGAAGAGAGTGATGAGAAGAACTGCAAACGACACGTAGTTTCACGACCACCATCTATATTCCCGTTACCATTCCTTGCGTGATACTGCCGTAACCACCGCAACCAATCCGACACTGTGATCCCCAACAAAACGTTGCGTCGGGCCGCAAGATCCGCTGCTGCTGCTGCTGCTGATGATGATGATGATGATGATGTTGATTTAACGGTTGGTGCACGTAACACATCAGCCACGTCTGCAACGGACTCCTCAGCGCGATGAAACCCTAATCGAAGTGCGCGATCCGGTGGCGATGAGGTATCCACATAACCACTGCAGGAGGCTGCACTCACAAGCGTCATCAGGGCCGGTACGACCTGCAGAACCAGCCAGTGTGCAAGGGAGGCAAGAAAGTCATGGAACAACAACCCCGATGGCCCATTGAACAATGCGGTGTTTGTTTCCGCCGCCAAATTTACCCACAACCAGTGAGTAGCGATGCGCCTTCCCTCACTAGAAAAGTTTTCCTTGCAGGGATACATAAGAAGGGCGAGCATCTCAATCAAGTGATCTCGCTGCGCTGGCGTGAATGGCAGTCTGGAGGCGCCACCAATACCACACCCACCGCCATTAACATAATCGTCGTGGTGGCACAAAGTGCTTCTGTCACAGGATGGCATTGCAGACTCTAGGTACGACTCAATATGCGCTACAACCGCCATCGCATTTAAGAGCCGCTGAGTATTGCTGAGGTTCCATGGACTGCCGTTACTGTTGTTGTTGCTATCGTCATACGCACCGCCAGGGTTATCTTTGGCCCATCGCCTCAGATGGGAGCCTTTTCGCTGAAACGCCCTAACCGTACGATGCAGATCCTCACGGGGATTGTTCACGTGCGCTCCGACCGCAACTCCCGCCCCCATTTCCTCCTCGCTGTCTGTCGACAGCCAACACCGCCGCAAGGAGGCAAGGTGACGCTGCACAAGCACCACACTCTCCACTTCCAACAGTCCCACTTTAATTTCCCCAACACTACCACCGCAATGAATATCACTACTGCTGTTGCCATGGTAGCTCAGCAAGAGACGCACCCCGGTGGGTGGGGGAACCCATCGAAAAAAACCATCCACCAGGACGCGCGTACAGTGCCGCACCACAGCGAGCACATCCTCAAAGCGACACTTCTCTTCCCAGGAGAGGGCATGCCGCAAAAGAACCATCTGTTCCACAGAAGTGGAGAAGAACACAGCACACAACAGGCGTTCCCATGCAGTAATAGCCGACAAAGACGCTGACGAGGGCGGTGTGGGCAAAAATGTCTCTAAAGAGAGGGCAGACGGCGGTGCAAGTGAGTGATAGAAACTCGCATAACTCGCCGGACTCCAGACAACGTCAATAAGATAAACGTGCTTTGCGAGCAACGCCACTGTGTTCCACGAAAGGGTGGTAGCGTGCAAGGAGGAGCAGGAAGAAGAGGGTGCGTCTGGGTGTCTAGAATTTATCTCCTGCTCCTTCTCACTTTTGGTCGTCTCCGCGCCGTCTGTGCCCAAGATCATGCCAAACGACCACCTCGTGGCCGTTGATAAAAGCCCCAGCACCCGGATTCCGGCTGTGGCCTTCTCTAAGCAATAGCGGGGTGGTGGCACCTCCGCCGCCGTTCTTACCGGAGAGGTGCTGCGCGGTGGCCGATGCCCATAACGGCTCACATCACTCAAAGGGGAAATCGACATGAGTCGTTCATCATCTTGCAGCGGTTCCAATGGCCTGCTTGTCATCTACGAGTCCTTGTGGGTTGCATGCAACGTCCCCGCCCCACGGACTCCTCTATATATTTGGTTTCCGTCTATCCCGGCAATTCAGCAGAGCAAGAAAGAAAGGAAGAAAAGAAAGCAATAAGTACGAAAACCCATACACACCACCTGCGTGATGGTGTTAATGGCGGGAACTAAACACACACACACACACAAACACACATACAAATGCGGGAAAACAGGAAGAAATGGAGGCAACGCAACAACTCGCTCCGTCTCCCGCTTATTTTTTTTCAGATTGCGATGAAGACACGGCAACAGCAACAGAATGGGGATCACACCACGATGTCCAGTTATTGGCGTTGCGGCTTCGAAGGCAACGTGCGGCAGCATCACGTGATGCCGCCACCGCTGCTTTTGCAGTCATATCGTCATCGGAGGCCGTCAAGCGCCATTGTGCCGCGCAGCGATCATACAGCACGACATTCACTGCCGCCGCGAGGTTTAAACTGCCTTGTGTGGGTAGAAACACAGCGGAGTGACAGCGAGCAAGTACCTCTTGTCGGATCGATCCATCTTCTGGACCAAACAGATAAACAACCAAATTTGGCAACGTGCATCGACTCCGTTTTCTGGCACCGCCATCCAGGGCATGGAGGCACGGATGACGGTATAACGGCAGTGGGGTGGCACCATCAATCATATCCACCGCAACCACGAAAGCCTCAAAGGAAGTAGCGCCCTCTAGCACCTCAAATAGGTTTATTATGTCGGGGATAGCAACATATGGGCTACTAAACCCAGCTGCCTGTGTGTCTGTCACCGGACGATGCTTCAGCGCCGCCAGTAGACGAGTGCCAGAGAAGATGAGACCCGAGTACCCAAAGCAGCCAATAGCGCGCAGAATACCACCCAAATTGGCGGGTGTTTTGGGATTTTCAACGGCGACAAACACGCGCACAGGGAATTCACCGCTACCACCATTGTTCGCCTTGCCACTTTCTTCTGTGGGTTCCCCAAAGAGCAGTTGCTGCAGTGCGTTCAATGCCTTCCTTCCTTCTTCACCGCTGACGCTCGAGTGCGGGTCGTTGTTCGGTGCGTAGCGTATCAGACCCACCCGGCATGGCTCGACACCCGTGATGGGTGCCGTCCCCGAGGAAGAAACGCCCTCCAGGTGTTCGGCGAGGATGAAGAACGACGGCCGCCCCGTGTGTGCATTGGTTGGAACCCTCAGAACAGAACCACAGCGAGTGCATCGCCATGATGCAGCCACTGCAACCTTTGAAACTGATCCCTTGTTATTCACGCGGAGCGCTCGAGAGGCGCTGCTGCTTCGCCCTTTTCCCCCCTCCTCTTCAAACTGTACGGCATCCACCACATCGTGGACAGAAGCCGCGGCAATAAACTCCGGCACAAAGAACGACTTTGCCCATGCAGTTTTCATTCCCCATTGTCTTCCCATGTGGTTCCGATGTATTTATTTTGCTTCCTTGTCCCCCCTGTATTCAAACCTGGAGCCTCGAACAGCGACCGGCTCGTCCTTCACTGCGCGCCCCTTTCACAAAACATTGTGGAGGATGACATCAGGGGGTAGTCACGTGGGGGGTGCCAGGAAGAAAGAGAGAGGAAAGAAAAGAAACCCAAGGCGTTAGCCAGCACGAAATACCAACAATGACGGGGTGATGCGGCAAATAGAAGAATTCACGTCGCTATGGACCAGTCGTCGCCTTAAGCGGAGGTCCATTGCCTTCATGGGGATTAAAAACAGCAAAATTGCATCGCAAACACCACGGCATCTTGTCTCTCCATGTGTCATACCCCTCGACGACCCTGCACATACGGCAGCGCGAGTGGCACGCTGTGCACGGAGCCACGGCCCAACTCCTTGTATTCTCCCACACATCGCAATGTTTTCTTTGACTTCTTATGTCTTCTTAACCGCACCCTTTTATTCTCATTTGTCGGGTCGTCATCCTTCACTTCACTCTGGTCCTTTCCGTCCTCTCCCTCATCAGGCCTGTCATCATCGGCGAAGGTGTGAAGCAGTAGTTTTGACCGTCGCGTCACAAGTCGCCTCTGCCGCATCTTCGCAATGTCATATAGCAGGTCTGGGGCCATCAAGTAGCGGTCCAACTCAAGTGACTCAAGGGCTTCTCGTTGCTCCATCTCCAGCAGCGCCGCCTCATCCTTGTTCACCATCTTCGTTGCCTCGTGATATTTGTCGTTCACCAACTCTGTAAAGTAAATACGGCTGCGGTAGTCGTCCGGTTCAAAATTCAAATCGTTCAGCAGATAACCCGCAAGGGCATCCGAGGTGAGTTGAATGATGGGAGGGCCGCAGACAATACCCGTGCGACGTCCAAAAGGGATGTGCATGCGTGCAACAAAAGGTGAAGTGACATTTGGCACCGCCGATGTCATATCTTCTTCCTCTTCTTCCTCGTGCTCCTTGCTGTTTGCATTCCCTTCCGTTCCATTATCCTGTGTAGCCTCGGGTGGGGGATCGATACCCGCGTGCTCCGCCACTTGGTGAAGAAACTGCATCACCTCCTCATGCAGCCATGTTCGCGGCATGTTGTGGAGACGGACGGTGCGGACTGTTCCGCGAAAAGACCGTGACGAAGAGGCTTCTTCCTCATCATTGTGACCGGCGGCGAAAAGAACAGAATGCACCGCACCTGAACTTCCCTCAGGAGAAGCAGACGGAGGGGTCGTGGTGCCGTGCCACCGCAGCGACACTCGCATGGCACATGTAGAAACGACACTTTCGCTTCTGGAGCACATCCTAAACGCATGACCCCCGTGAGCACCCACGTGCACAGAATGCCGCAGTCGTAGAGGCCACAGTGGCGGGCTAACAATGCTCCTACAGCCCAACCACACGGAGCGCATTTTTTCTTTTCTTTTCAAACCTGCCACTTAAAAAACAAAGTGATGGGAGATTTATTATTGCCTCACGCCATGACACAAGAGGCGGCGGGAAATCCACATTTATTGCGAATACACCACCACCAGCAGCAGCAGCAGCGGCCAAACACCATCGCAACTAATAAAAGTAAAGTTGACACACACACACACACACACACACACACACACAAAACAAAAAAAAAATAAAATAGTCATACAGGTCGCTGCGGTAAACTCGCACGGTGAGAGACGTGCGAAAGTAGCAGTGCGCTGGCGGGAACAGAAAACAACCCGCTGGGAACCGATGGGCCCTCAATTTGTGACGGCTCGTTCTGCAGCTGCAACCGGATTTGCGCAGCGTACTTCTTGAAGGTGTCGTGATTATAAGCGGCGGCCGTCATCGTGCGGGACCGTATCCCGAGGTGAAACGGCCGCGGTATCGTCACTCGCGGGTTCCACGTGGAGTGGTCCGCGTAACGACGGGCCTCTTCATCCTCCGCGCGCTGCTTCTGCTCACGCATCTCCCGTGCCTCCCGCATCCGCTGCAGAAAGCCATCCACGCCATTCACCTCCTCGACACGATTCGATAAGTCACACTCAATGCTGCCGCCACGAGCCAGCGATTCGCGCGGCTGGAATGGACACTCCGCCTGTTCCCGCAGCAACGCCTCGTAGACAGCCTGTATATGTTTGGCATCCCGTCTTTCCTGCCATAACATCAGCCGGCGAAGTAAATGTTCTCTGCGGTCCACACCACCAGCGTTGCTGCGTCGAGACGACGTAGAACGTGTAGGGTGGAGAATGCGATCGGCGTTAAAAATTCCAACTGGCGGAGAATGTTTTTCTTGGGATGCCCTCATCTCTTCTTCCTCTTCCTCTTCCACTTCTTCTTCTCTTTCCCGCTGCGGTGGTGGCGGAAGACTACTTTCATCGTACGGAGGTTCCCCACGCAGGATGCTCTCCACCAGGGCCTCAATATCACCTTCCTCCTCGTCATCATAATCAACACCACCGCCGCTGGTGAGAACATCTTGACGATTTCCATCTACTTCACTACACTTGTTATTGTCTTCACCGATAAGCTGCGGTGTCGAGAAACCGCCCATGTGCTGCGGGTGCGTGTCATCATTATTGTCACCAGAAAACACGGATCCTTGCCTGGCTGCTACGGGAATCCCCAAGTAATGATCCACCAGCTCGTCAATGTCCACATTATTCCCTCCCACCTCCGCCATGTTCTTACCCACTACCAGTGAGTCAACGTTCTTCTCACCCTTCCAGTCAGAACGGCATAGCCCACATGTACACAGTTTGTTATGTAAAGGGAAAAAGGAAGAACAAAAAAGTGTCGTATCGAATTTATTCATCATTCATGCGCATTGAACACAAGGAACATAAAAAACACACATACACACATACATACTCTTTCTCTCTCCATTTCTGCAAATAAATATATGCAAAACTTGAATTACGCCAGTCAAAATATTCACAAAGCAAACGGTTGACGAGTCGCATAATAGCATCACAAGGAATTCTGCTTTTTTTTTCTTTTCATTTTGTATTTCTTTTTTCTCGTTTTTTTTTTTTTGAAAGCTACTCAAGTGCAATGCGGGCAGCGAGCCCCCGCCAGGCATGCCTTGTGGTACCGCGTGCCGCATTCTCCACACGCCACGACATCCCTCCTCATTTCGCTATCACCGCGAACGAGTTGTATCGCCACACGTGCCAGCCGGAGAAGTGGCGCGTCCTCCTCTTCGCCCGGCACGACTGCCCCCCTCTCGAGAAGCCGCACACCGACCACCTCGGCGTCCACAAGAGGCAGCCGCGCCCCCTCGTCTCGCCCCTCACACAACTCACACACTGTCGTCGCTCGCGCCACGCAGGTGGGGCAGTCGCGATGCAAATGCTGCTCCATCACCCGAATCTGTGTTGCCAGGTAGCCGAGAAAGTCCTGCCGCTCATTTTCCTTCGATGCGTTGGTCGACACCGTTGTGGAAATGGAATGCGCCAAGCTCGAGTCACTCTCGACGGACGCCAATGACGCTCCCGCTTCTCCTCTTGCAACACCCGGTGATGACTCATGACGATGCTTCGTGTGCTTCTCCTCCAGTTCTGCGACGGCGACGCTCCTGTCCAAATTCCACGACGTCAAAAGACGTCCAAATGACACGGCACTCATAACGTTTCCGACGGTTGCTGCCATGAACGATGGCTCAATGAGCATTGAGCCTATTCGACTTGTCACCCCATCTACCGGCCCCAAAACATTGCCACCGCGTAGCTCCCGCAACGCAGTACCCACATCTTCACTGTACTTCAACCCACTCAAATCACTGAGGGAATAAGTGACGTCCGTCTCGGCGTAGTAGGTTTGTAGCAACATCGCCAATTTATCCGAGAGGGGCTCCGTACAGCCCCGTACCATCTGTGCACACAGGAGGAACCAGTGGCGAAGCACCTTCGCTAGTTGCACAGAATCCCGCGACGCGACTGAATGAAAGCACCGCTGCTTCATCTTCCCCTCCCCCGACTCCACAGTGTACCATGGCATGCTCCAATTCTGTTGCAGCCACTCGTAGTCGCGTTTACAGACGCTCCGAGGCGTGAAGCACCACGAATTTAAAACGAGAAACGGCAACACTGCCACTTGCTTCACATGGCATTCACGGCAATAAATTTGTGTACAGTAGTGACATCGATGTGGCTTATTAATCCTAAAAAGCCCCGATCTGACCGTACCACCCAACGCAATGCCACACCCAGGGCAGAGGTATGCTTGCCGCCGCAATTGCAGTGAACGAGGGAACTCTAAGGGTGTGAGCACAATAGGGCCGGTAGCTCCAGTAGCACCTGCACTCGTAACAGCCCCATAAATCGCATGCTGGCGTTCCTGGAGCAGCTGCTTCTGTCGAAGCTTTTCATACTGAGCAATTTTCAGCTTGGCTGCTGCGCGTGACGCCGGCGTGTCTGGAATAGGCTTCGTTGCTATCATCCTGCTCCTCCTCTTCCCATCTTCTTCTTCTTCTTCCTCTTCCTCCTCCTCTTCTCCGTCTGGCTTGCCATAAATGACCTCGATAAGGTTGAGCAGGCGGGACTGCACCGCCGCAGCACTGGGAGCTTCCTCTTCACATGTCGCACCGCCACATCCTGTCACAGAAGCCATGACAAGCTCGTTGTAAATTTTCCTCGTCCCATGAAGAACATGGACGAGCATTTCTAGTTTCTCCTTGTAGTCCTCCTCCAACTCCGCAAGGCCACACTCACGCAGCTGTACACTTTCCTCCTTCTGCCGTACTTCCTCTCGGGCTCTTTCGAGTTGCTCCTGTGCATCCAACAATTCCACAAATGTCATGAACGATGAGGGGTGCTCTGTGTTTGTGCTGACACTTTGAGAGGAGAGTTTTCCATCGCTTGCCACTCCACACTTGAGGGAAACAGGCTTCGCTTGCGTCATCAATCTCGTACCATTACTACCATTCATAACACCTTTCTCCACCACCTCCTCTTCCCTGCCAACAATCTCTTCATGGGGATCACCACACACATCATTTTTCAGGGTCTGTGTGGATGCATCAGCCACGTAGCAATATTCATCCCCATCCCAGTAACAATGCCTATTGGCGCATGTCGTGTGGTTACACGTATGCCCAAGCATTCCTCCGGTGCCCACCGTGCTGCGTTGCGAAAGCATGATGTCCTTCAGACGTGACCACAGCGGCATAACAGCATCGGATGCTTCTTCCTCTTCTGTACCGTTTCTCGGCGCAGGCACGCGTGTCTTCGATGACGCGTTAATTTTTTCTTGCGATGCATCGCCTTCGCTCGCACATTCCGCAGCAGCAGTCGATACACGCCGTTTCTTCCTTTTTCGACGGTGCAGTCTCAATCGTTCCACGTGTACTTCCCGTGGCACCTCACGAAATAACGGCAACGCCTCCGCTAAAGATAAGCCGTATTGCACCGCCACACTTTTCCCTTCCATCGGCCCGGCTCCATTTGGGCCCGGATGCCACACCCTTAGAAGGAGCGACAGCAGTTGCATCACATAACCCCCATTCAAGAAGGTTGTGTGTGGCCCCAAAGACTCCTTCAATCGTCGCACCCGCTCCGCTCCAAACTGGGAAAAATCACCCGCTTTTTCTTTCCCTTCACCCACCGCCATAATTTGTTCCTGCCCAACAGTTCCGGTGGCGTCCTTGACGATTGGCCCTACCAGCAGCAGCGCGGCCGCCTCATACAGGGAGTCCGCGGTGTTGAGACTATGCACCACCCAGCAGCGAAATGCATCCGCAGCCTCCGGCCGCCGTACCCGCAGTGTTTCCTCCATTGGGAAATGTGTCTTGTGCTTCCGCGGGAGGTGGTGGAGCAGCGGCACCGCAACGCCCTCAAAAAAGGCCTCGGCACCCAGCAGTGGTTCGGGCGTGAAGGCCTCCTCGATACCGTTAAGAAGACGTGCGAGAAGGGCAGGCGCCACGGCCAGCGTCAAAGAAATTGTCGAGAGCGACAGAGACGATCTCTGTTGCTGTTCATGGGCGAAGACTTTGATATCCCGCACCGCGTGCTCCAAAGACACAAGTGTGGGAAACATCTTTTTTCTTCTCTCCCCTGTTTTTTTTTTTTTTTTAATTTCCTCCGTGTGTGTGTGCGCCACGGCCCTCCCCCCTTCCCTCAGAAAAGGGCAGCAGCAAAGACACTCGCAGATGACGCCAAATTAATAATAGCAATAAACCACACAAACACACACACACAAAAAAAAAAAAAAGAATGAAAGAAAAAAGATTCACACGACATGAATGACAAACAAACAAACAAACAAGCACGCACATGTCTACTTCACAAGAATTTCTCTGACGGTACACATAAATCCCTACAAAGGCAATCGAACGCACACGTAAAAATTGAACACTCATTGCGCGGAACGGGGAGGTCAAAGAAAAATAAGAAAATAATTGTGATGGAAAAAAAGCAGTCATTATATTCACAAGGAAACGCAAGAATAATAATTAATAATAATAATAATAATAATAATAACAAAGACGCACGCAACCGACATGCACAAACACAGGAATTGGAAAAAAAACGCTAAAACAAAATAACACAAAACCAATTTTACTCGCTTCGGCTTGCATTCTATCTCTTTTTTTACCGCCTCACACCCAACCAGACGGGAATTGCAATACCTACATTGCCACTTTACGGCCATGTCAACTGGGTGAGATAGTGGGCAAGGGAAAGCCCTCACATTCCCACCATGTGTACAAAAAAAAAAAAAAAAAAAGAGCAACTACATATATATATATATATAGATAGATAGATATATACTTACAGAACAGAATAATAATAGTAAAAAGGAGGAAGGATGGAAACATGGCCAGTGTCCTAAAGTATTCGCGTCCCCACAACCATCACCATGGATTGTTGCTCTCGTTGTCGCCGCCGCTGCTGTTTTTGCCGTGGACTTTCCTCCCCGTCATTCGCAGCTGTGTTTTTATTCACCGTCACCATCTCGTGTTCCTCTTCCTCGCGAGACTTGTGTCGTTCCGGCCCCTCCGCCTCCTGCATCAGCCCACTCTTCTTTGAGCTCCCGTGCGGGTACGTGACGTAGATGGTCTTGCTGGACAATTCCCCGTTCAGGCCCATAATAAACGGATTCTCCACACGTGGCAGCAGCGACTGCGGGATGTCCGTCACGGTGGCACAGCAGGGACAGAGAAACGTCAGTGTGTTGACGGGCACAAGGATGGATTGGCCACAACCGCCGCACTCAAGATGCATGTTCTGCGCCGCGTTCACGGTGTTGCAGTTGCGGCAGCGACAGCTGATGGCGCCTAGCGGGTAGCTGATGATCTTCCGACACCCCGCACAGACCAACTCCCCAAGAAACATCATTTCTTCTCCTCGTTTCTCTCTCTCTCCCTGTGTGTGTGTGTGTGTGTGTGTGTGAATTCCCCTCCCCCAACCCCAAACTGTTCCTCCCGGCAAATCAGAAAAAAGTAATAATAATAATAATAATAATAATAATAATAATAATAATAATTTCCTAAAGCGTTCTTCCTTTTCCCCCGTGGCGGAGTGCGGAGACCACGACCCAAACACTTCAGCTACTACCACTCCTACGCGTAGAACCGCCAGCCCCTCCCCCCAAAAACAACAGAAACACACAGACACACACAGACAAAAAAAAAAAGACAGAAGGCACACAACACAGAAAGAGAAAGGGGTAGAAGGAGATACATGACACGGACAGAAAAGTAAGCGGTGTTTAAAAAAAGGGTGTACGCTGACAGACAGGCAGAGAAACACACATGAACAGAACAACGAGGCAGAAACAAAACACACGCACACTGCCTCTCTCTCTCTCTCTCTTCTGCTTACTAAGTGTATTCCCCTTCTTCTTCCTTTTCCCCTCTATTCCTTTCATTTTTTATTTTTCTTTCCCCTCCTCCCCCTCCTCCCCCCTCTCTTCTTTTTTTCCTCCTATTATTTGTTTCACCCTCTTCACACACACATCCCCCTGCGTTACACGTGGCACCATTGCAGAAGGCATGGAGGGAAGGGGGAAACAAAAGACAACAACAGAAAACAAATGGCGAGGAATTCACCAAAATGACATCCCCTCCCAAAAGTACACACACACACAGACAGAAAGAGAGAGACAGAGAGAGACAGGGGGAGACGCAATCACCAAAAACAGACAAACAAACTGATACCTGCGTTTTTTCCTCCCCCTTTCCCTCTTATACACCCCTCCCTCCCCCCAATAATAATAATAATAATAATAAGTAAATAAAGCCCAAATCAAAACAAAACACACGCACACACAAACACACAGAAAAAAGAGCAAAACACACACGTCAATTGCCATCGAACACCCCGTAAGAAAACAAAAGGGCACGCATGGAATACGCTGGACAGCTGCCATCGTGTGGCCACCGCTTGTTCCCAGCCGTTCAGTCAACACTTTCCCTTCTTTCCCTCCTCTTCTCTTCCGATGCATGTTCGTTCCTTCCCCCTCCCCCTCCCCACCACCAACTCTCAACTCTCTCCTCCTTCCATTCACCCGTGCAGACGCAGCGAAGAAATAAATTAATGATAATTAATAATTGACAGTATGTGTGTGGATCGGGAAGGATAAAAGCACCTGTAAAAAAAACAACAACAAAAAGTTCCTTTTTTTTTTTTTTTGTTTCCTTTTATGCGTTATTTGTGTCTCTTTAATGATAAATAAATATATCGAAACCAAAACAAAACAAAAAACCAACAAAACAAAAAAAAAGTGTCGAGTCATTTGACAAGAGAGATGTGACCCCTTTCTTCTCCTCTTCTCCTTTTCCCCAGCCCGCACACTACCACGCCAGTCACCTGCACACCTCAGCTAGACTTTTTCAAGGAGCCATTGGCATGGGTAGCGACTGGTGCCCATCGTGGAAGCACGTGTGCCTTCACGAACATTTCCGAAAAGAGATAGAGATAACTGGCATACATCAGCAGTTGGATACGCATGTTTGACCATGTCATGCCGCAACCACGGCCATCGTGGCTCTCTTGCATCGCATACAAGGTGACGAAGCAGCCCATGACCATCTGCAAGATTTGCAAGATGGTGATGTAAGATGCCCACGGACGTACAACGTGTTTGTAACCCATCTCCGCAATAGCAAAGTACAAGTACATGATGGAATGCACGCTGTAGTTCATAGCCGCCACCCAAATGTATCCTGAGCTTCCAACACAGTAAGTGTGCCACGAGAAGAGCAACACCGTGACATGGTGGTACCAGTGAAGGAACGGCAATGTCGACTTCCCTTGAAGCACCAAAAATATGGTGTCCATCAACTCAGGAATCTTGGAAAGAGCAAACACGCCGATCCAGAACCCTACATCCGTCGTGTAGAATTCCTTATCGTTAAATGTGCAGGTTGCCTCATAGAATCCCTTGTTCATGATGTTCCTGACAAGGGTGGGCGTGACAGTGCTCGTGCCAAATATGGAGAAGACAGAGAGGGATAAATTCCACAACACCATGGCACGACGTACCGCCTTGGACCCACTGCCACCTGCAACACCTTGCCTTGCGGGTGCTACAGATGTTGCCCCATCGCGGCCCGTAATTTTCGCAAAGAGTTTTGGTCCAGTGAAAACAAATGCGAGGTAAATGCCAGAAATATACCCCACCACATCCACATTCCGAATCATCCAATCGCGGACTGCGTAACCGTCCCAATTCTGCACAAATTCCATTTTCTTGAGTGTAATAAAATGGCCTCTCTCTCCCTCTCTATAAATGTGTGTGAGTTATTATAAATGTGGTTGTAGGTTAAGGATGCCTTTAGGGATAAATGCTTCTTGCCCTTGTGTCCGCTACTCAGCAGATTGCGGTAGTCAAACTCTGCAGAAAATGTAAAAAAAAAAAAAAAAAAAAAAAACGTTTGAGGGACCAATTGCAGGAGGTGCCACACACACACACACAAACAAACGCTTACATACACGCCATAATCCACACAATGACAGATATACAAGTTTACACACATAAAACAACAACAACAACAACGACAACAACAACAACAATACGCATCAGAAAAGTTCTCCCACAGCGATCCCGCTCTTCGTTCAATTCTGTTCTCTTCCTTTTTTTTTTTTTTTTCTCTTCGGCAGGCACGTCCCTCCCCCTTATGCATGGAAAAACATACACACACACACAGACACACATGTATATATAAATATATATATAGCTTCCCGCATGTATCCCGTTAAGTCATCAGGCATGAACTCCAAGACCGCCACTTTCTCTCCTTTACGATAAACAAACAAACAAACAAACAAAAAGGATGCAAATAACAACAAAAAGAAAAGAACTTGCCTTTTTTTTTTTTTCTCTTTTATTTGCCTCCTTCTTGTAAAAAACAAAAAAAACAAAAAAACAAAAAACAAAAACAAAACAAAACAAAAAAAAAAAAAAACAATAATTACTCTTCCCCTCTATGTGCATGAACACACGCAAGTCACACCTTCTTCCCTGCGGCTGTCGGGTCGGCCACGGGTTTCTTTGGCCTCGCGTAGGAATTCAGGAACATTTCCGAAAAGAGGTAAAGGTAGCTCATGTACATGATCACTCCCATCCGTGCGTTGGCCCTGGAGACATGACACCCCGGCGCGGCTCCCTCCGGCGTCGTGTACACTTTGTACGCCGAGTACGTCGTCACCAGACTGCCCACCACCATTTGCAAAATCTGCAGCATCGTAATAAACGGCGCAAATTTCCGCATCGTCTTCTTAAAGCCACAAGCGCACATCGCAAAGTAAAAGTACATGATGAAATGCACCGTCAGATTCATCGCGGCAAACAGTACCATTGTACTGGTGTGATCGCAATATGTATGCCATGAAAATATCAACACCGTGACATGATGGTACCAGTGCAGAAACGGCGGGGTTTTCCCCTGCAACAGCAGAAACATGGTATCGACAAGCTCCGGTGCCTTTGACAGCACAAACATACCGATCCAGAACCCCGCGGAGGAGCGATAAAACATCTCATCATTGTTGCCACATAACGCCCGCAGCATGCCACGCTGGGATATCCTCGTCAGAAAGGCCGGCACCACAACAATCATGCCAAAGAACGAGAACGCCGACAACAGGAGGTTCCAGACAATGATGGCGTAGCGAAGAAGCCCCGAGTTGCTCACACGGTTCGTTTCCCCATTCAGGCGCCTCACCACAGCAGGCCCTTTCCACACAAGTGCCAGATAACCGAGGCTCAGGTAGCCAAGAACGTCCACGTTCTCTAGCATCAGTCTCTTAACGGCATAGCCGTCGTAGTCTTCAACGTACGGAAACATTACTTTTTTTTTTTTTTTTTTTATTTTAACCGTTCCACTCTATCTTGAAGTGGGCGTGAGAGACAAATGGATGCTTCTTCCTTCTTCCACTCAACTCACCTCCCGAAAAAGACGTACAGGCACAATAAATCGCTTTAGGGCTTGAAAAAACAACAACAACAACAGCAACAAAAAGGGAATAACGCCGGCTTTTTTCTCTCTTTTTTTTTTTTTCCACGCACCGGCAATGGAGGCAACCAACCAACCAAACAACAAACAAACAAGAAGAGGCGTACATAGGCAGACACATGCAATATACACGCATTCCTTGTCTGTGGGCACACACACACACACAAACAATGAGGGGTGAGAAGGGAGAAATAAAGAAAGGGAAATATCATATTTGAAGGAGAGACAGATGGCAATGGAAAGAGAGACGACATGAGAGATCGCAGTGTCGTGCACCGCGGTTCACGTCGACAATCATAATAAATCACAATAACCATTAAAACAAAAGAAAACAACAACAACAACAACAAAAAACAAGAGAAAAGTGTAGGGATTTGTCAGGGAATGAGGAGTCAACGGTCTTTCATGCACGGTGCCGCCTCCAACACCCCCCCACCCCCACCCCTTGATCGAATTTAAAGCAAAAAAAAAAAAAAAAAAAATAAATAAATAAATAAGCCCCTCGCCAAAAGAAACAAATACAAAAAAAAAAAAAAAACAAAATTAAATCGGCCCATGCAAAGAATGCATAAAAAAAAAAAAAAAAAAATAATATAAAATAAAAGGAAAGGGTACAAGGGATTAAAAGAAAAAAAAAAAAAGAATATAAATAACAGAAGAGCCATGAAACCAACACACAGACACACACATGAATAGACGAAATATGCAGTTAAATACCGCGGCCTCATTTCACCAGCCAGCCATCCAGCCAGCCAGTCATTGGCACCTCCTCATTTCAATCCCGCTGCCATTCTGCATATTTCCCTGTCAGTGCACTCAAAAAAAAAAAAAAAAAAATCATTCATACTTTTGCTTCCTTTTCTCTTCTCCTTCTTCTTCCTCCTCACATCAGTTCAGTTTCACCAAAAATAAGAGCATATATATATATGGAGAGAAGTAGCAAGGCTACTGAAGGGTTAGGGTGAGGGCCACCACGTGTAAATGCGAGACAAGAAAAACAAAACAACAAAAAAAAAGAGAATGCATGCACATTGCATGCAGGCAAAAGAGACGGGGAGTTGTGTTGCAGAAACACGATAGCCAAGCATACACACACACACAGACAAAAGGTGTTGTTTTTTGCTCTGCACACGACGTCGACATCATACAGCATGACCTCCCCTCCCTGCTTGCATGCCCCCCTTTTTTTCCTTTCTTCACAGCCGCGGATCCAACACCTCCCCGCCTTCCCTCTTCCCCTCTCACCGCCCTCCCCAACAAACACACAAACACGCAGACAAATATTGCACGCACGCACACTTTTTGTGTGTGTCGGTGTGTGACAACCCATTCCTACTCTCCAATCCATAAATACAAATGAATATGTGCATGGAAGTGTCATTTGGCAGCCTCCTTCGGCCCAATGAATACACACGAGCACACAAGCACACATGCACAGACACATATAAAAATATATTTATAGAAAAACACGCAGACATAAAATACACCAAACTCACTTCATCTTTTTCCCCTCCCTCAAAACAAGCAAACAATAATAATAATAATAATAATAATAATAATGATAAAACATGACACTGAAAGCAGCAAATAATACAGAAATTTCCCACGCCTGTTGGATCCTGCATCGTCCAGCTCTCTCTCTCTCTCTCTCTTTTTTTTTTTTTTTTTTTCTTTTCGTTTTTGCTATCGTCCTTCCGTTTTTTTTTCTCTCCTTTCAAAATTATATATATATATATATTTTTCTTACTTTCCTTTTTTCTCCCCGTTCGCCATCCTCAGCGTTCGTGCCGCCGCGGGGCTGATGTAACTGCGATAGTACAGCTGCGAAAAGAGAAACAAGTAACTGACATACATCAGGAGTCCCATTCGCAAACTTGGATTATTGACGGCACAGAATTCGCCCATAAACTGCTTCTTTACGTAAGTGTACAAAACGATAAGAGTCCCTGCCACCATTTGAAGAATTTGCATCATTGTAATGAGAGGGGCAATAGGGCGAATAACTTTGCGCATCCCACAGGCACACATAAAGTAATAAAAGTACATGATGGAATGTACGCAGTAATTCATAGTCGCAAACCACAGTCCACTAGAAATGGTGTATGCGTATGCATGCCAACAAAACAGCATCACCGTGGCATGATGATACCAATGTAAAAAGATCACTGGTTTCTTCTGAAAAACAAGAAAGACCGTGTCGATCATCTCTGGAATCTTAGAAAGAACAAAGGCAGCTACCCACAATCCCACAAAGCCGTCAAAGAAGATCTTATCGTTCCATGCGCAGGCCGAGTTATAAAAGCTGCCTGGCAATTTTGGTGGAGGGGCATTAGGGCCCAAATTGGGGTCAGCCATCAGCCCACTGATGCGCGGTGACGTGAGGACTTCCCACAGTCGCGGTAAACAGTAGTACGCCCCGCATATAGAGAACACTGTGAGCAGCAGATTCCATAACATGTTCAGAAAACGCAGTTTTATAGGATTGCGGTGCGCCATGACGTTTTCAGGTACGTACAGTACAAGGATAAGATACAGCACCACCGCAACAGCAGGCACCTCCGTGTGATCACGCATCCAACTCCGTAGATGTTCGCCACGGAAGTCCGCCGCCCATCGGGTGTACGAGTCCATCCATGCAATTGCCATTTCCCAAAATATACACACAGACGCAGGGTTCTCCTTGTAGTGTAATATATATATATATACCACTCCTGCTCAAATAGATGCTCGCTTCGCACAGACCCTGCTTTGCCCTGCCTTCCTCCTCGCCCAAAAGAAGAAGAAGAAATATATATTTATATATATGTACCCTGATTTACTTCTCTTCGATTTATTTTAATTGGTAACCAAAAGTTATTAATAAGTCAAAAGGTTTTTTTTTTAATTTTATTTTATTTATTGTTTTTTATTATTCCCCTTTTTTAATAATTCCTCTTTTTTATTGATTTTTCTTTTTTTTTTTTTTTGGTTTCTTTTATCGACAGCTTTGGGCAAAAAAGTGACGCAAACAACGGAGAAAAAAATGGCAAATGGACGCAGCCGCCCTCCCCTCCCCACCCACCCAACCACCCACCTCCCA